AGGAAGCGAAACTCCCGTTCAAAGGACGAAGAGGAATCGTCGTGCAACGGAAGTCGAGGAACGGGTTTAAAGACCTAGAAAAAGACTCTGTGAAAAGGAACAGGGGAAAGAAATAGAGAAATAGAGACACGCTAGAGGAAGTATCGTAGGTGGGAGGGTGAAAGGAGGCAGGTTACACCAGCGAGATTTCTCGCGAGGGAGAGAGAGAGAAGAGACAGCAAGTGAGAGAGGTGAGAAGAGAAAAAGAGAGGGAAAGCAAGAGAGAGATGGCAAGGGAAGAAAGACAGGAGAGGAAAGAGAAACAGAGAAAGTAAGTGAGTGAGTGAGCGGAGGAACAGAGACAGGAGAGAAGAGAGGAAGAGGGAGATAAAAGAAAAATAGAGAGAGAAGAGTGAAGGAAAGCAGAGAAGAGAGAAAAATCGAGGAGAGCAGGGAGAAAAAGAGGGAGAGCAGAGAAGAGAGAAAAATCGAGGAGAGAAGGGAGAAAAAGAGGGAGAGCAGAGAAGAGAAGGGAAGAGAGAAAAAAGGAGAGCAGGGAGAAAAAGAGGGAGAGCAGAGAAGAGAGAAAAATCGAGGAGAGCAGGGAGAAAAAGAGGGAGAGCAGAAAAGAGAGAAAAATCGAGGAGAGAAGGGAGAAAAAGAGGGAAAGCAGAGAAGAGAAGGGAAGAGAGAAAAAGAAGAGAGGGAAAGCAAGAGAGAGATGGCAAGGGAAGAAAGACAGGAGAGGAAAGAGAAACAGAGGAAGGAAGTGAGTGAGAGAGCGGAGGAACAGAGACAGGAGAGAAGAGAGGAAGAGGAAGATAAAAGAAAAATAGAGAGAGAAGAGTGAAGGAAAGCAGAGAAGAGAGAAAAATCGAGGAGAGCAGGGAGAAAAAGAGGGAGAGCAGAGAAGAGAGAAAAATCGAGGAGAGAAGGGAGAAAAAGAGGGAGAGCAGAAAAGAGAGAAAAATCGAGGAGAGAAGGGAGAAAAAGAGGGAAAGCAGAGAAGAGAAGGGAAGAGAGAAAAAGAGATAGGAAACAAAGAAGAGAGAAAGAGACATGGTGGTACCAAAAGGAAGACAGAGTAAGGGAGCAGGAAAAGGAGGGGTTGGAAACACAGAGAGAGGCATATCCACGTGCAGGGGCAGTATTGATCTGTTCGCGCAAACTCATGACTCTTACGTTCGTTCCATGGCCAGAACCGCCTCTCCCCCTCTCCTCTCTCTTGCTCCACCTTCCATCGTATACACCAGCATCTACTCACCTCTGTTCAGAGTCAGTCGACGCCGAAAGTGCTCCACTGGCTTCGATTATGACCCTGGTCATCGTCCTCCCACGCTAAAGAAGGAAGCACGCGCACGCGTGCCATCAGAGCGAGATTCCCGATCGAGCGAGGATCCACGCACGATCTGCGTCAAAGGAAGTCATTGGTTGAATCACTTCTCACGATCGTAGGGACTCGAACTCACACTCTCTAAATAGCTAAGCACTGCTAGCACGACCTTCCGTGGTAATCGCGATGATTGCCAATAGCGCAAAGTGTCTCCAACGGTTTATTCTTTCGTTCTCCTCCGGATTTCCGGAAACCGGTCTTTCGGTCTTTCAGCGATTCCAGCAGAATTTACAAATTAACCTGAACTTACTTACACACCTCCAACTGCGATTCTTTATTTATCCCACGACCAATTACTTTGTACTTAATTTGAAGTGTGCCGAGAAAATCGTTCATCTTCGCAACGAATTAAATTATTCTTCAATTAAAAAATTAACTAGTTGATAACGTAGGAATTTCTTTAACCATTTCATTTACAATACCAACATAATCGTTTCTATTTTTTACTTATTTCCATACTTTTTTCATCGTGATTCCAGCGTTCGAAGCAAACTCCACCATGCCCATTCGTTATCTGCTGGACGAATATCGTAATCAGAGAGTAGTATCGAAGTAAAAGAAACCTTATCTACACAGTGGCCAGGATTTTTCCAACAGGGAACAACACAACGATACGATTAACGCACGGCGGGTCGGAAGCGTTGATAATATCGTGACTCAGTTTATTACTTGGTCACGGAGTGAAGCGTTGAGCCACGCTGGGGATTTACAGCTAAGTCTGCGGGGATATGTTTGTCGAGCGTTAAATGTATGATTTAATGGGACGTGTGAATCTCGTGACAGAATATTCCATTTCCTCGCGGATGCCCCTTATTAATCTGACACGTAACCGCGCGTCTTATCACTCCCTATCACTTTTTATACGCCAGAGAAAAAGAAGTAGCCATTCTCTTCGTCGCTCCAAATATTTCACCGTTATCTTAATTCTCGTAAAAAAAAAAAGAAGGAAGAAGGAAGGAAAAAGATCGATCAAGATATGATTTCATTGATACAGTGATTATCAACTTGGAGTTGAAACATTTCGGTGGATTAAGTAACTGCACCAAAGCGGTTCGTGTGCGGTAACAATAAAATCCAGCATGAAACGAATGCCACTCTAATCGAAGCGATTACGTTGCGTCCGCATTAAATCAATTTTCACCGCCCACGGTAACCATGATTTAAATCGATTACGTCTGCGTAGATCATTGTCTATTATAAGTATAACCTTGCTGGAAACGTGATGCGATGATTTTATTCCCTCTCTCGTGTTGACAAGGAAGGATCGGTTAAGATTGTCAGGGGAGGTCCTGGAACAATAATTTGCAAAGTCCTTCGGAAGCTTTTTCAAAGGATTTGTTATCGGGAAGGATCTGATAGGACAGAATTGTAAATAATGATAAACAACTGGAGACTCTTTGAAGAAAAGATACATTTATTGATACGATCTGTCTTATTAGGTCTGTTTCTTTGAGACAGTTGCCTTTCGTGTACAGTTACTCCGGAGAATATTTATAAAATATTATAAAATATCGAGAAGATATTAAAAATATTCATTTTTGATAAAAGCGTCGGAATATTTGTGTAACGTAGTAATTGGACATAATTACGATGTCGTATACGAGAATGCATTAACCCTTTGAGGACGATGGACTCGTATATGCGTTCACGAAACGCTACGAACGCAAGCAAGAAACATATATTTTTAAGCGAGAAAAATAGTTAGAGTGACCGTGAACCCGTGCACTATATTTGAGGAAAGTGTAATTTTGATGTAATTTAATTAAAAATACGAAAACTGAACTAGTGACCTAATTACACTTTTAGTCCTACGTTCGCAAAGAGTTAACCTTCGGACAGCGGATGCCGGGTCACCGATGACCCAGCTTTTACAAGTTTTTAGAAATTTTCGATTCGCGACTGTCTTCTCCTTACGCTATAAATGTTTTTTTTTTATCTTAATCACATATTCGTGCAATTTCAAACAATACAGTTCCTAGTAAAAAAAAAAAAAGAAAATGTAATTTCACGTGCATATGAAAAAGATTTCAGTGTTGGGTCACATTTGACCCGGCGTCCACTATCACAGCATCCACTATCCGATTATTAAATCGTTAAAAATGCGGTACAATACTATCGACGCTGATTTCTACAATAAAATATCTCAACCTGCCGTTTTCACTCGATTTTCCGAAAATTCTCCGAAAACTACGTCTCTCCCGTGGTACCGAACGTGTTACTAACGACAGCCTGACAAACCGTGCCACTTCCACATCGCACATCTCTCTACACGCGAATCGTTCACAAGACCACGAGATATTACAGTCACGTTGAACGGTGGCGCAGGTTTCGGTCCGAAAAAAAAAAAGGAAAAGGGTCGCGTGTGCTTTTCGTTCTCGAAAAAAAAGAAGAAAAGAGAGAGAGAGAAGAAGGAAGAGAAAAGAGAGAGAGAGAGAAGGAAGAGAAAAGAGAGAGAGAGAAGAAGGAAGAGAAAGAAAGAGCGAAAAAGAAAAGAAGGGGGAAAGCGTTCGAGCCGCGTGTGTCACGGGGGTAGAGTTTCGGGCGGGATTTCACCCTGGTGGCCCGGCTCTGGTGGTTTTCCGCAAAGCGGATTTTCTTCCTTTTTTTATCTCTCTCTCTCTCCCTCCTTTTTTTCTCTCTTCTTTTTACAGCGAGCGGTAATTGGTGGCAGGCCGTGGCGGTATCGCTTGTTTAAAGTTAACGAGCTTTTTTCATTTCGAAGAGCAGACAGCGACCTCACCGCGATGCGAGCAGGCAAGCTGGAAGAGGAGGATGGAAGAGGAGAGCGGAGAGAGCCAATTAAATACTGATGGGAGATCGAGCAGGAACAAGTGCTCGAGAGAGATCCGCGGAAAATGTTGCGCCGAACAGCCGACGATCCGCGAGAAGAAAAGATGAAACCAGGGGGAAAAAAGAAAAGAGAGAGAGAGAGGGGAGGTGGGCAGCGGGGTTAAAACTGTGGATCAAGATGAGAAGTGACTATCGGGAAAAATTGAAGTGGAGAAGAAGAAGTTGCGGAAAATATTCGGATAAATGTAGGTATGTATAGCCCGCGGTTGGTGAAGTCTCGCTGGAAGTCTATTGGTGAAGATCCTACAACCGTGATTACTTTCACACAGATCGTACGGTTTTACAAAGGTATCGTCGAACGTTTTCACGATCTTTCGTATCCGTTATATACAGCTTATTAGGCGTAACAGAAGATAATTATTATTATTAATCCCTCTCGATACAGGTTATTATTACTGTTACATATATCACGTACGTTAACGCAAGGTTTGAGTACCTTGAGAGGAACTCAGCTTAGATAAATATATATCACATTTTCGCAAAAAAAAAAAGCAAGCAAGCAAAGATGAATAAAGAAGAAAGCAATTTCTAATTTCACTTTTCTCAAAAGATCACGGACACTCGAGGCGAGCGAAGATTTGAGCAAGGTGTCTATTTGACGCGAATTAGCCGTTTAACGCGACACGGATAAAATTACCGGCGTGGGCCGGTACGAATTGAGCTAAAATTATCACAATAGGTACATATGCGGTGACGCACGTGGAAAGGA